GTCTTGTCTATGAGAAAAAAATATATATTTTTAAAGTTATTAGTAAATTGACCTGTAAGTATAGTCATATCTCGGAACTCTGTTGTGTGTGTGGCGGGGGGGGTCTGTGTGTGTGGGTGTATGTGTCTCTCGCTTTCTCTGTCTCTGTCTCTATCTCTTTGACACCCAGGCACCCACACAGTAGATGTTATAAAAGTTATACGAGTTTTTCTGGCTCTTAGACCATCATTATTAAGGAGTAATAATATGGTTTCCAAAACATTTTTGTGTTGGCTGTGTAACAAATCTTAACTGTAAAGATGTTAAGCAGTAACCATTATATTACAAATAAAACTTACACCTGTCTCTGTCTAAAATGTTACAGTTTATTATTATTGTTGTTGTTCTAAGGAAAGGAAAAAGCAACCCTATAGGTATAACCCTTCACAAAAGAAAAATATCATGCTGGCAACTCATTATTTCAGGTTGTTATTATGTTAGATGGTAGCTTCTAGGTATGAGGCACATACCGATAATGACCACATTAAGGCAGAACCTCATTAATAATAGATGAGATCTGATTATATCCATTCCTGATGTTAGTTTAATAACCTGTGGCATTTTTGCAACAACAAATAATTTGAACTTTTTTTGCTTTTTAAAAAAAATCATTCCTGGCACATCTTCGTACCAAGCTGGAGAAAATAGGCTGCTTTTGAATCAAGGAATAATCCCTGACATGGGTCTTTCTAATGCCTTTCAACAGTAAGAATTGATATTTCAAAGAAATAATAATCATCATCTTAGACTGAATTTCTGGCCCCTTAAAGATATTGGGAGAAGGGGTTTGATAATTTTTCACTGTTGTGTGTCATGATTTTGTTGTTGTTGTTGTTGTTTAAGATTTATTTTTTATTTTAGAGAGAGAGAGGGAGAGAGAGAGCACGAGTAGGGAGGAGGGGCAGAAGGAGAGGAGAGAGAGAATTTTGAGCAGACTCCCCACTGAGTGTGGAGCCGGATGTGGGGCTCGATCCCACAGCCCTGAGATCATGACCTGAGCTGAAATCAAGAGCTAGACGCTTAACTGACTGAGCCACCCAGATGCCCCGTGATTTTGTTTTTTATAATAGAATACATCAGCTTCTGTATTCACGCCAGACCCAAATGCCTTGTATTTCCTGCCAGGGCACTTGGTCCAGTACAGTTAAATTCTGTAAGAATTGAACAGATATTCTGCATAAAGTACTTGGTTTGTTATTTCACATTACCAGAAACTTGGTTGCTTTTTTTCTTGCTCAGTTTTTATTTAGTTCTTCACCTCTTAATAAACTCTGTGTGTTAGGCTGACTGACAGCCTCCCACTTAAAGATGTCCATATGTTACCTTAGATGACAAAATGGACTTTGCAGGTATGAATAAGGATCTTGAGATGGGGAGATAATGGCAGATTATCCAGGCATGTCTCCTTCTATGGTGAACGAAGTGCCGGAAGCAGACTGGAATCATGGGCTTTGAAGATGGAGAAGGAGCCACAAAGCAAGGTATACAGGCAGCCCCCAAAAAGCTGAAAAAAAACCCACAAAGAAATGGATTCTCCCTTCACATTCTCCAAAGAACCAGCCCTTCCCACACCTTGAGTTGAGCTCTTTAAGACTCATTTCAAGACTTCTCATCTCCAGAACTGTAAGAGAATACATTTGTGTGGTTTTAAGCCACTAAACTTGTTACTTGTTACAGCAGCAATTAGAAACTAATACAGCCCACATCTGCTCTCCTTTCAAAAGAGAGAGGGGCAGATTGTATGGAACAAAGAAATAAATAAATAAAATCTTAAAAAAAGGAAAAGGAAAATCAATAGGTATTATTACAATCCATGTTTGCTCAAACAAGAAAAGATGGCTTTTGTAAACTATAATTTTCCTGTTGAAAGATAATGCTTGCCTATATAGAAAGTTGAAAATGCAGAACAAAAAGGAAAAATAAACAGCCACTACTGACATTCTGTTCTTTTTCCTTCCAGTCTCTTTTCTATGTATATTTGTATATACTTGAGCTTCTGTTATCAGAATGTGGGAAATAACCACAAGAGACAGATATCTGTTGCTCATTTTGTAAAGAAGGAAACTGAGGACCAGAGAGGTTAAAGTCATTTTGCTCAGTCATACTGCTCATGAGAGTCTGGATTCCAGAGATCTCGTTAACAACACCCCTCTTCTACCCCAGCATATGCTGTGAAGTTACGAAGTGGGAGTAAAACTATAGGGGGGGCGGGGAAGATCCATCCATTTTGATGGAGGCTTTAAAAATCCAATCCTGCTTAAGGGAACCCACAAGGGAACCAGAAGCTTTGGAATGTGGTGCTGATGAACCTCCCCTGCATGAGCCAGTCTTCCTTTTTTCTAAGCTGATTCTCCTAACAAGCCAAAGGCTGGGAAAACATTAGTTAGATGTAACTGTTACTAAGATGAGATGCATAAATTAAAATCCCCTTTCATACCAGCAGCCAAACTGCCCCCATTCATAGAGCTGAAGGGAATAGAGTCTTGTCTTTTTCTTTTAGAGAGGGTGGAGAGGGGCAGAGGGAGAGGGAGAAAGAGAATCACAAGCAGACTCCCTGCTGAGCACGAAGCCTGATCTCACAGCGCTTCAATCATGACCTGAGCTGAAAACAAGAATCAGATGCTTAACCGACTGAGCGGCCCAGGTGCCTCCCTTCCTTCCCTCCCTCTTTCCCTCCTTCCCTCCTTCCTTCCTTTCTTCCTTCCCTCCCTCCCTCCTTCCTTCCCTCTTCTCTTGAAATTCTCCAGATAAAACCTTTCACATTCATGCATTTTATCTGTTGTGTTAATAATACTATACTACTCTATTTTGTTCCACTTAAATATATTTGCTTTGTCTTTTCAAAAAGAACTTAGACAGGGGCGCCTGGGTGGCTCAGTTAAGCGTCTGCCTTTGGCTCAGGTCATGATCCCAGGGTCCTGGGATCAAGTCCCGCATTGGGTTCCCTACTCAGTGGGGAGCCTGCTTCTCCCTCTGCCCCTTCCCCCTGCTTGTGCTCTCCCTCTCTCTCATGCTCTCTCTCTCAAATAAATAAATAAAATCTTAAAAAAAAAAAAAAAGAACTTAGAAAGGAAGAAAGAGGAGGCAGGGAGGGGAGGAGAGAAGAAGGGAGAGAGGGAGGGAGAAAGAGAAAAAGAAGGCTCATTGAGCTCTATGCAATGAGAAAAATTGATTAACATGCTCTCATAATTTTTGCATATTGGTTTCATCCATAGGCTCCTTTTTTATTCTTAGTCATTAAACATTTCTATTTGTGCCAAGCAATTGGGAATTGCTTGCATTTAACAGTTTCATGCCTCGTGCAGTCAGTGATGTAGGAAAAGTAATGTAAATGAAAATAAATTGGGTATTATGCCCAGTAGGAAAGCACCCCAGCCTGTATCCCACCTCTAATGCACTGCCTAAGCCGCAGTGCAGAACTTCTAATGCACTGTAATTTCCTCTTCATAACGTGCAAAATACAGCCTCCACTAATGGTCAATTTGAAGGCTATTTCATAAACGGAGAGAATATCCGCATCCCGTGAACTCCTTGGGAAGCTGGTGTCCTCTATGAGTTCTGGCCACGACATTCATCCTGAAGGCAGTTTGGAGAGAGAGACAATAGCCAATAAAGCTAAATCACTCAAGAGACAGCAGAGAGCTCTCCTCTGTCCCTGGGTGGTGGAGCTGGGCCGTAGCCAAAGCTGTTCTATCTATTCAGAGTGCAGTTGGCCCTCCTTCAAGATCATTTCCCCAGTAAAGCGGGGAAGGGGATATGGGATTGGAACTGAGCTGAGATCCCTGACCCCTTTCACACAGAGTCGATAGCCACAGAAATGTGCTGCCCACATTTCTCTTTATTCCATGTATCTATTGCTCACAGTCCCAGGGCTTGCCTGTTTCAGAACAATCTAACTACATGGTTATAGTACATGAGAGATTTGCTCATTCTTATGTTAGGACCCAAACCCAGTGATGATATGGTGGCGATGGCAGAAGCTAGCTTTGACCGAACACTTGCCACACACCAAGCACTACTGAAAAAGCTACGTATCTTCTCTCTCACTTAATTCTCAGATCAACCCTAAGAGGTAGACACTATTTACAACCCCTGTTAGCTATACTAGAAAACTGAGGCACAGGGGGGATAAAGAACTTCCCCGAGACAACAGTAGCTATTACATGGAGGAGCCAGGATTTGAACCCCAGTTGTCTGCCTCCAGAGTCATCAGCCAGCCTCCCTACTGCCTCTTTGACACCTAGTTTTGCTAATTCTCACAGCAACCCCCAGGACAGGTAATACATGATGAAGACACATGGCCTTGGCCAAGCTCACTCAGTCTCACATTTGTTTACAATTCCACGGGGCACTGGTTTTGCAAACATTTTTCTTCTGCTGAAGTCTTCCTAGAAGTGAAAATTTATAGGAAGCTTGGGGCCAAATAAAACTTTTCAGATTGGTGTGAGAAAAGGGAGAACGCTGCCACTCTCTGCACCCCCACTTCGACAGGGGGACAACATCCTCTTTGTTCCTGTCAAAGCATTTATCATAATTGCCAATTATCTTATGTCACAATTTGATACTTATTCATTGACTATTGGCATAACCAGCCTGTAAGTGCTATGAGGACAAAAACTCAGTCTATCTCACCCGCCACTGTACGTCGAGCACCCGGCCACGCTCCAGGCACATGGTCAGCATTCAGTAAATAATTACTGAGGGGCACCTGGGTGACACAGCTGGTTAACCATCCGACTTTTGGTTTCGGCTCAGGCCCTGATCTCAGGGTCTTGGGATCGAGCCCCGTGTCCAGCTCTGCACTCGGCGCGTAGTCTGCTGGAGATTCTCTCTCCCTCTCGCTCTGGTCCTCCCCCCGCTCGCTTGCTGTCTCTCTCTTTCTCTCTCTCTAAAATAAATAAATAAAATATTTAAAATAAATAACTAAATAAATAATTAATTACTGGGATGTACAGCTGAGGTCATAGTTTTTTCCCCAAATCTCATTATGGAGCAAATCAGGACAAAACAGAACTTCCAAAAACTGGAGAGCAGCGGGAAATGTTAAATGAGGTTTTCAACTGATTGAGGCTTTCGTCGATTTCTATTGCTATAAATCACTTCCCGGGGCCCTGGGTCTAAACTGTTGCCGCTGCCGCTGCAGGGGGGAGAGAGAGAGTCGGTGAGGCCAGGGTGTGGCTCGGCTCTCAGCCCACTGGAGCCCCGAGGAGCAGGAAGAGAGGATGAGCCATGAGCCCAATGAGCGTCTTTTAGGGAGGTCGACAACTACGCTGATGCACAGAGGGGTTGTTTACTTCTTTTAATTTGAAAAGTCTACCCACAGCCTACCTGGTGAATTCCCAAGAGAAACTAAAGTAGCATGTACTGAGACATTTCCGTGTTCCAAAGGTTTCTATCGGGAAGTTCTTCTAAAAAAGTAGAGGAACCATTAGAGTAAAAGTCAATAAATTTGGCTAGATCAAATAAAGACGTAAAATAGTCCAAATAAAGTGAAAAAAGAAATTAAAAAAAATATTTTTAACAAGTTTGACAGACGATATTAAAAGATCACCCCGATTAATAGAAAAAAGGCTCAGAGTCCATAGACAATTCTGCAATGGGATGAAAAGACAATTCTCCAAAGAAGGAATACAAATGGCAAATAAATATAAAGCTGTTCAATTTCACTGCAAAAGAACTGTGACTTAAAACCACAAGGCAATGTCATTTTTAAAGTCAGGTTTATTGAAGTATAATTTATGTACAGTAAAATTCACCCTTTTCAAATGTATAGTTCAGTGAGTTTTGACAAATGTATAGTCGTGAAAGCACCAGCAAAATCGAGATATAGAACATTTCCATCAGCCCTAAGAAATTCCCTCAGATCTCTCTCCTGTCAATCCTTCTCACACCCAAACCCCAATCCAACTTTTTTCCCTGATAGTTTTTCCTTCTCTGGGATGTCACGGAAATAGAACCATACAGTAAGCTGCCTTTTGAGTCTGGCTCAATGTCTTTTTCAGTCTATCACATTTGTTAAGATGTGAAAGGTAACAATACTGGTGGTGAGCATGCTCTGACAGAGCTAGTGTGTGGATAACTGGTATAACCTCTCTCGGGTGCAAACTGGCAATGTGTATCAAGATCCCAACAATATCAATGCGCTTCAATCACTAATTCCATTTCTTTCTTACTTGCCTATGCTTCCAGTGTTAAGACACCCCCTGACAAATGTCCAGACTCGTGTTACAACTTGATTCTAGAGCAAAGAGAGATGGTTCCATCCCCTGCATCAGGAAGTGCTCTTTTGTTGGCCTTTCTCCACAGAGTAGGACCTTCAAAGAAACCCAGCAGAAAGCACTCGAGCTTCTAGGTTAACATTCTAGGAAACGTTACAGAAAACTTCGGAGGCAGAAAAACAGCAAATATTTTTTCCAACAAAGAGGAGTTTGCTCATTATCTTCCCTTTTTTATTTTTTTCCTTGTCCTTTGCACTATCTACCAGAAGCTCTTCTACTGCATGCACAACATATAAATTCTAGCCATCCCAATGATCCTCTGGAAGAGGAAAATAAGGGAAGAAAATTTTCTTTTAGATAGAATTGTCCTTGTTTTGCTTCAGGCACATTAGTCATTAGCCCAATGATGTCACTAGCTAGATCGCTGGGCTGAGCAGCATAAAATGACCACACAAGTTCAATGAAGGCAGATAGCAAACCCCCATGTTAATTATCAACCATCCCAAAGAGAGAGTTGAAGAGAAACTCATGTCAAGGAAAGGGGAGGCCCGATGCACATCATTAGTGCTCAGGGAGGAATTAGGCCCATGTAACTGCTTTCAGCGGGAGATAGGACAGCTCTCTCCCTTTCAATATACATATTCAACATCCATAATCTTCAGGATTCCTGAACACTCCTTCAAGAATCCCAGTTATTTCAGCAATAATTGCCAAACATCACAGCTTTTGCCAACACTCTGGCCCCGGTTTAGGGAAACACTGTTGTCGAATTTAGATTCTCACTCCTTCTCATCTTCACACTTTTCTCGGGAGCACAGTTCACAGGAGGTTCACTTATAAATGTGTATGGAAAGTCACAATGGACTGACAAAGTCAACAACATCCCTACAAGTGGCCGAGCTCAGCAGAAGCTTTCACCCGTCATCTATGGTCATCTCTTCTTCCTAATGAGAGCATGGGAGGTAGAAAATGTAATCCAGGCTGGGAAACACCAGTCACAATAGAGGTTGTGACATACCTGTTCTTAGAGATGATAAGAATACAAACGAGGCCCATCCATCTTGGATTGCTTTGAGGCTTTCCTGTTTTAACCATGGGGTTGGTTTTGAGAGTTTGCTCATGCCTATGATTTTACATAAGGTAAGTTTGGGTTACTCTGAAGAAATTGTCCTAAGTAACCAACTAGACAATGTGTCCCATTCATGTGATGGGATTATTCAATCCTAGAGACAATTGTCCATGTAGAATAGGAAGCCTATGAGGTGAAAAACATAGCATCTGTTCATGAATCTTCTTTCCTTAATACTGAGGACCCACTGGACCTTCTGAATGAATATGTCTCATTTCATTTCAACTCAGCCAACCTACCTTGGCCCCGAGCAGAACCCATAAATCCACCTATAATTTATTAAAGACCTTCATGGCACTCCATTCAACCAGTTCACTCAGCAGGCTCTTTTAAAAAATGGTCCCGTCACTGGAAATGAGAAAATACAAGTCAGGGCCACACTAGGTTTAGAGTGACTGAGTTTAAATGTTTATGGACTTAAATTCGAAGTGCATCTTGTCTTGATACTGAAAGGGTGAATAGCTCTGCATTTAGCCACAACTGATGGAGTAGGTGTCCATGGATATTTCTAAAGGAAGGCTGAACAGAATTTCATTCACAACTTTCCCTTCATTCAAGGAGCCCTCAACTTCTAGAGTAAAATTAAAAGCAATAAACGCTCAGGTTTTTGGTAAAATTGCAGTCTTTATTAGCACTTTTTTTTTTTTTTTTTTGGTATCTTGAATCCCTTTAGAAAGAAATGCTTCATGAGCACACCATGTGGAAACAACCCCACTGTTAATGTGTTGCTACTATTCTGTGTGTAATATATTTTTACCCAGGGCCAGCAAAAGAAGAAATGATGCACAGATCTCTTTAGGGGAAGGAGGAAGGAGGGAAACACTGAGAAGACACAATTTCCCATAAAAAAATTCTCATCTAGTACCTGTAGATAACTGAGAAGAGTGTCTAACAATATGGGGAAAAAGTCTGAACCTTCACTGAACTTGGTATCTTCCAACCTTATCAGGGTAGCCAATGACAGAAGTAGAGGGGCCCCTCAGATTGAGAGTCAATGCACTATATACTAGGCACTGTGCTAGATGTTATCACATCCATCATGGCCACATGCAAAGGGCCCACACCTTTGTAGAAAGAAGACTTGGCTACCCTTTGCTAAGCAGAGAATGCCACAGGACCTAAGGTGAGAGGCCCCCAGGATTGGGAGGCAAAGTGTCAGAGACCAGGTACCCAACAGTGCAGCTAGCACTGGCTGCTAATTTAGAGCAATCCCTGATATTCAGAAGAATTTCCAATGGCTACAGAAGTTCAAAGAGATGAAATGCAAGCTCAAGTTCGAGGAGAGCTTTTGAGGCAGACCACACATGGTTACTAAGGTCTTCTCGACACTTCCTTAGTATGATATTCCTTACCTTGACAGTATTACTGTGGTCCCTCGCAGGACAAAGCCAGAAATTAAAATTTGTCAGGATCCTGAGAATGAATCCACATCTTACCTGAAACAAGCTAAAGAAAATAATATATCAAACTGAAATGCCAATTTTTTTTTCACAATGAGAAATTAATATCAAAGGGAATGTATAAGGTCCATTCAATCATTGCTTTCTGACTCTGTACAGAGATCTTTATGAATAATCTACTAAAATATACCTAAAAACAAGTAATAGTGGGGTGCCTGGGTGGTTGAGTTGGTTGAGCATCTGACTGGTTTCAGCTCAGGTCATGATCTCAGGGTTGTGAGACTGAGCCCTGCATTGGGCTCTGCGCTGGGTGTGGAGCCTGCTTAGGATTCTCTCTCTCCCTCTCTCTGCCCCTTTCTGCTCCCCGCTCGAGCACTCTCCCCACCCCCCAAGAAAAAGAAAAAAAAAAACCAATTTGGTTAAACAATAAAGAGAATTTATTGACCCAAGAACTCAAAAGGACTGTGGTAGGGAGTGTTCCAGGTAAGACTTGATCCAGCAGTTTAATCACCAAGGATTAAATTCCTTTCCATCTATTTGCTCTATTTTTCATCATACTGGCACCCTCCTAGGATTACTTCTCATGGCTACAAAATGGCTGCTTGCAGCAATAAGATGTATGCATATTTTTAAAAATTCAACTTCAGTAAAAGAAGGATGGCTTCTCTCTCCAGCTATCAAACAAAGGTCCTAGACTTCATTTTGATTGGGCCAACTTAGGTAAATACCTGTCCATGAATATCACTGTAGCCAGAGGATTGGTTTAGGCCTAGGTCAGTGTCCATCCCTGAGTCAATCACTGTGACAGAGAGTATGGGTTTATGAGAATTGGTTTATGGTTGATCTCTGGAGTTAAAGGATGGTAATACCACCCAAACTACAATACAATGCTAATCAGTATATACGGGATGGGATGGATGCTTGGTGGGCAACTAATTGTATCCACTGTAAGAAGCCGTACCATACTCAAAGGTTTGATTTGTGACATGGAATCAGAATGAAGAAAAACAGATACACAAATGCTTGATGGTATCAAGATAAATAGTAGGATTCACCCAACTTTCTACATGGATTTCCCTTTTCTTTTTTTAAATTAAAGATTTTATTTTTTAAGTAATCTCTATACCCAGTGGGGGTCTCAGACTCATGACCCTGAGATTAAGAGTCACATGTTCCACTGACTGAGCCAGCCAGGCAGCCCTCCACATGGATTTCCTTACTAAGGATTCTAGAACATCTTCTGACTAACTTATGATTCTATCAAAGAATGAGTGGAACAAAGAGGCAAATACTGTATGATTCCACAGACACGAGGTATCTAGAGTAGTCAAATTTATAGACACAGAAAGCAGAATGGTGGTTGCCAGGGGCTGAGGAGAGGGAATGGGGAGTTATTCTTTAGTGGGTATAGAGTCTCGGTTTCGCAAGATGAACAAAGTAATTCTGGAGATGGATGGTGGTGATGGTTTCACAACAGTATGAATGTCCTGAATACCATTGAACCATACACTTAAAAATGGGAAAGATGTTGGGCGCCTGGGTGGCTCAGTTGGTTAAGCGACTGCCTTCAGCTCAGGTCATGATCCTGGAGTCCCTGGACTGAGTCCCGCATCGGGCTCCCTGCTCGGCAGGGAGCCTGCTTCTGCCTCTGACCCTCCCCCCTCTCATGTGCTCCCTCTCTCTCATTCTCTCTGTCTCAAATAAATAAATAAAATCTTTAAAAAAAAATGGGAAAGATGTAAATTTTGTTATGTGTATTTTACCACAATTTAAAAAAAAAAGGAATAAATGGATCCATCAGATGAGTTATGAGCATCTCTTGCAGGCCTTGGGGTTGAATTTAGGTATCTCCACTCTAAAGTGTTATGTGCTTGTTTTTAAGTCAAATTATGAAAAAAACAAGTAGTATTTCTCTGTTGCAAAAGAGGGTCAAACACTACAATGACACATAACGATGAAAATGTCAACCTTTGGGCTCAAGGACCAGGTTGGAGGCAGTCCCCTAGTCTCTGGCCATTCCGAGATTTCAGCTAAGTGTGTCCTGCTTCAACTGGCATAGCTGGAGACAATTTAAGTTGTGTTCTAGGAGAAAGACCCCCACCCCCACCCCCAGTGCTCTGCCACCTCATCATTCAATAATAGCTGGGAGGTGACAGAGATCCCCTGGCCCAGATGCTCTGAACACAAAGCCCAGCTTCACCAGTGTGAACAACATTCCATCCTCAGTGGCCGTCTTCTGCGAAGTTTGCATCATGAGCATCAGTGCCAAGCAGCAGAACCTCTGGCTCTCTCTGCGAGGCCAGCTCATTACTGGACTACCTGCGAGGAAGTTGCTGGAGGCATCCAGTAGAGAAGCTAGTTTGTCTCTCCTCATAATCTTACATCCAAGTGCTTAGAGGAAGCTCACGATAGTCCCTGAGCACCGGCTGAAAACAGATTGCATTTCAGAAACAAAATAAGAGGATGGAGCAAAACCAATCCTCCGTGGCAGAAGCTGCACTTCCAGGGGCCTGGGAAGAGAGCTGGGGGCGGGAGAGGAGGGAAAGGGAGAAGGAAGTCTGCGGAGTGCGAGGGCCCGATAAGGTGTGAAAGCCACGTGACACTGCAGTGGGCCTTCAGTCACCTCAGATTGGGGAATGGGGTTCTGCAGAGCTCTTGATTACATGGACTCTGATTTCTTTACACCATGTGATTCCCGCATATCTGATCACTGAACTCTAAAGACGCTATGCGGGTACTCAGTTGGAGTTCAAAAGCAACCACAGATACTCCCTTCAGAGAATATTTCTACCTAAAGGATAAATTTATGACTAAAGGATACATATTTCACTGGCTTAGTCATTCCTTTCTTTTTTTTAAGATTTTATTTATTTGAGAGAGAGAGAATGAGAGACAGAGAGCATGAGAGGGAGGAGGGTCAGAGGGAGAAGGAGACTCCCTGCTGAGCAGGGAGCCCGATGTGGGACTCGATCCCGGGACTCCAGGATCATGACCTGAGCTGAAGGAGGTCGCTTAACCAACTGAGCCACCCAGGCGCCCCTAAGCTGGCTTAGTCATTCCTATAGAATTAAATACCATCGTCTGTCGGTGGGTTAGCATTTCCTAAAGGAAGGAACAAGTCCCCAGAGAACAGCAAGACATCAGCTAGGGATGAGTTCCTGTTTTGTTTAGGTTTCATAATGAGTGAGCAGCTTAACACCTATTATGGGGGTGGTTATATATTATTATTTGTGATGTGGTAACAGTGTTTTGGGACTCTATTAAGTGTAGGACATTGTGGTAAACTCTATATATACATCAGCTCCTCTAACCCTTAAAACACAGTATGGTCAGTATCACGCCCAGTCTACAGACAAAGATATCAAACTCAAAGTATTGTAATTTGTCCAAGATCACATAGTTAAGAAACAGTAGATCTTCTGTCTGAGCCAAAAACAAAACAAAACAAAAAAAACCCCTCATATTTGTAATGATTGTGGTTAAATAGACCTCTGTCTTTGTTGGACCAATGAAGCTTTGGTGGGCATTCTATACTTTTAATACTTCTCCCAGACAAAGATGAATGATGGAGAAACAAAATTTATTCTTTAGGCAAAACAGACCAAAACTTGAGGTTGCATAATGTCCCCTGTGAATGGTGATAGCCTGTCTCTTCAGGAGAGGAAAGGGATGTATTCTGAGAAGTAAATGAGTTTCCCTGTTTTCAATTTTGCTTGTGAAGCCTACTTCAGAGGACTATTGCTGGCATAACATCAAGATTAAGCAGGGGTGGCGCACCTGGGTGGTTCAGTCCGTTAAGCCTCTGACTTTGGCTCAGGGCATGATCTTGGGGTTGTGGGATCGAGCCCTGCCTTTGGTTCCATGCTCAACTGGTAGTCTGCTTGTCCCTCTCCCTCTGCCGTTCCCCCTGCTCGTGCTCTCTCTGTCTCAAATAAATAAATAAAAATCTTAAAAAAAAAAAAAAAAGATTAAGCAGGGGTTAGCAGACCCAGGTTCAAATTCAACTTCTACCACTTCATAGCTGGTCAACCTTGGTCAAGTCACTTAATTCCGAGAGCCTCAGTTTTCTCATCTATAAAATGGGCATCATAATAATGAAAAATTATTAGCTTCCTTTTAATGTTAGCTATTTGAATAAGCATGCCATTGCTCTTTTAATTTTCACTTCTCTAATGACTACTGATGTTGAGTATCTTTTGATGTGCTTATTTGCCACTGGACATCTTCTTTGGAAAATTATCTATTGAAATCTTTTACTCATTTTTAAAAATCAGGTTGTTGGTCTTCTTAGTATTAAGTTTTGAAAATTTTCTAAAAATAAATTCTGGATACATACCAGGTAGAGGTGAGGTATGGAACAATTGGAACTCTGATACATCACTGGTGGGAATGTAAAATGTTACAACCACTTTGGAAAACTGCTTGGCCAGTTCTGAAAAAAATTAAATACATACCCACAATATGACCCAGCCATTCTAGTCCTAGGTTTTTACCCAAGCAAAATGAAAACATACGTCTAAGCAAAGACTTGTGCATGAATTTTCATAGCAGGTTTATTGGTAATAGCTCTGAACCAGAAGCAACCTAAAAGTCCATGAAGAAGTGAAAGGATAAATGAACTGTGGTATATCCATACCATGGAATATTACACGTCCAGGAGTGAAGTACTGATATATGCTCCAACATGAATGAATCTCAAAATAATGATGCCAAGTGAAAAAAGCCAGACAAGAAATAGTATATATTATACAATCCCATTTATACACAATTCTAGAAAATGCAAATTAATCTATAGTGAAAGAGGCAGATCAGTGATTGCCTGAGAACAGGTGGAGGGGCATGGAGAGGTAGAAGGGAGAAAATACAAAGGAGCACAAAAACATTTTCCGGGATGGAGCGCCTGGATGGCTCAGTCCGTTAAGTGTCTGCCTTCAGCTCAGGTCATGATCCCAGGGTCCTGGGATCGAGTCCCACATCGGGCTCCCTGCTCGGCGGGAAGCCTGATTCTCCCTCTCCTCCCTGCTCATGCTCTCTCTCACCATCTCTGTTTGTCTCTCTCACAAATAAATAATAAATAAAATCTAAAAAAAAAAAAAAAAAAGAAACTTTCCGGGATGATGGATATATTCACTATTTTCATCACAGTTATAGTTTTCCAGATAAATATATGTATACAACATAATTGTATATAATTTTATGTATCTATCAAAATGTATCCAAATATGTGTAGTTTATTATATGACAATTACGCCTCATTAAAGCCTTAAAAATGTCTTTGCTCCCAATATTCCCCTGGCCTTGTTGCCCCTGACACAGAGGAGGGGCCTCCGGCAACCACGTGTATACCACACAACCCGACCTTCCTGGCCAGAGCTGGTCCATCTGACACTGCAGGTCACTAAAAATGAGAAATATGAATGTTTCTAGACAAAAGGTCCATGATTTTCTTTTTCTGAGGTCCCTGGAGTTGCCTGGATCTGGCCCATCCAAAGACTGGTTATTTTAATTCTTAGATTTCAGGACTCAAGTGTCCCATGAATAAATTCCTTTCATGCTAGCTAGCTGGGGTTGATTTCTGCTTTCTGCAACCCTGGGGAAGAAATGAAATTGACATTTAACTCGTGGCACTGATATTTCTTATACTTTCAATCACAAATAGCCACACTGCTATTTTATAAAAATAGGGTGTTGAACTGGCCGTGAGTCATTCGCCCATCCCTTCATTTCACAGACTTTTATTTGATGGCATACTACATGCCAGGTGCACAGTACCAACCATTTTCACATCTTCAAATTATGTAACAGCCTGTATAACAATCTCATTTTACAGTTGAGAAGCTCAAGTTCAGAGGGACTCAGTTACTTGCTTAAAGTCAAAGAATCCTTAATAGGCACTGGATCCAATCATTTTGAGTCCAGGCCTGTCTAATTTCAAAGGCCACACTCTGCCACATTCATTACCCAGCTGTGTTCCCTGGTTGTGGTCAGCCCCAACATCAACAGTGTGCCCCTGTGTCCAGGCACCAGCTAGTGACTTTTGGAACCAGGGACCCAAGATGCTTCCCTGATCCTCTCATGGCCAACAACAGTGTCAAGGCATGGGAGCTCTGGACGGGCCTTGCCCCTGCGGGCCTCAGTGTCTTCGGAACAGATGAATGATCTACTCTAAAAGGCAGGAATAATCGGAGGATCCTTTTTTCCCCGGTGTTGCTTTCTGTTACCTAGTCATGAAACTGACTCCTCAGTAACAAACGAGCAGCCAAATCCTGAAAATAAAAATGGTCATCCACAACTATAGGAAATGTCCAAGGAATGGCACCCCTGTCCACAAATCAAAAGATAACAGGGCTAGGATATTCTTCCTGAGAACCCATGGGAACTTTGCACACGTAAAAAAAGCTCAGGTTTGAAGCTGAGCTTTTTTTATACCATTGCTGGAAACACCCCTCATAATTTCAGGAGCACAGGTTCAAGCTAAAACCAGAGACCTCATGATACTTTCTTTTCCTCAGGGAAGTAAGTCTACCAGAGTAGGAGAAGATTTTCATTTTCAATTTGAGAGATTTCAGTATAGTTTAAATGTGTTGCTCTTGAATTTAAAAATACAGTAAAAGATGTCTCAATAAAAAAAATAATAAAAGGGGAAAATCCATAGATCTTCACCTTATATATTCTTCCTTGTCATCAACCTGTAGAAATATGAAAGCTGCCCAGAGCTCATGTGCACTGGAAATCATCATGGTGACATCTGGAAGAGGGAAAATGGATGCAAGCATTCAATAACCTGGTAGTATGAACATAGCTTTTGTTATCATATCCATATGGTAAAAATTATACACACGTTAAACATATTTCAAACACTAATAACATAGGGTAATATTTACAATTTGTTAAATTATAAAAATAGAGTACAAAGACAGGTATTCAGTTTGACCCTGACGTGTGTGGTGTGTGTTTACGTGTGTGTGTCATGAAGAAATATACCAAAATATTAACAGCAGTGATATCCGAGTGTGGGTAAAATGCCTTTCTTCTTTTATGTAGTATCATTATTAAAATACATATATGCTAGGGCGCCTGGGTGGCTCAGTTGGTTAAGTGACCGCCTTCGGCTCAGGTCATGATCCTGGAGTCCCTGGATCGAGTCCCGCATCGGGCTCCCTGCTCAGCGGGGAGTCTGCTTTGCCCTCTGACCCTATCCCCTCTCATGTGTTCTCTCTCTCAAAATAAATAAATAAAATCTTTAAAACAAAAACAAAAAACAAACAAACAAAAAATACATATATGCTAAATGTAATGTGGTATTGTCAGCAGATAGGATCCTGGAACAGAGAAAGCATATTAATGGAAAAACTTGTGAAATCTCAGTAAGTCTGTACCCTAGTGAACAGTAAGGTGCCAGTGGCAATATCTTGCTTCGATAATTGTACCATAGTTATGAAGGATGTTAACACTATGGAAAGCTGAGTATATCTCTGTACTATCATGCAGTTCTTTTATTAATAAAATTATTTTTTAAAATAAAAAGCTTTTAAAAATATATATATGGCAAGACGAGAGGAACAACGGTGACAGACAAGCCATTCTTCTTTGTTAGGACTGCATAATTTAGTATGTATAAAATGTTTTATTTTCCAGATGTGTCTTGTTCTTCCATCTAGACTGTAACTTTTTATGGCCAGTGCTCTCCCGGCTCCTCTGGATCCCCCAGACAGCACTGAGACCAGCGCTGGGCTATGGATGTGCAACCAAGATCAACAGGTTCGTTGACTAGTTGACTTGCCCTGAGAAAAGACACTAAAAGGGACACCAAAAATCCACTGTGAATGCTGCTTTTTTCCCATTTTGGCAAGTGCTGATAGCTCAGTTCCAAGTGCATTTTTGATGAACAAGAGAAAATATTAATAAACTAATTAGTTCGAAACATATGAAATGGCATTTTTAGCTAAAGATATCTCATATCTGCATTCATATGTTCAACTTAAATAATAAGTCTTTTACATTAGTCATTGAGGGAGGGCATCAGAGACAATACCTAACAAGTCACAGTGCACACTTTAACGCAATCATTATTTCCATGAGTTCCTCTCCTACAGGGCTTGCTACTTTGCACTCTCAACTCATACATTCTCTTCTTCTCCAAAAGTTACATGAGCAACAAAATTCTCCCCAGGAGTTTGGGATAAATTTCTAAAACACCAATTCAGGAACGCCTGGGTGCCTCATTCGGTTATGCGTCTGCCTTCTGCTCAGGTCATGATCTCAGGATCCTGGGATCGAGCCCTGAGTTCTGAGATAGGCAGCAAGTAACTCATTACTATTTTTTTAAACCTCAGATTTATAATTGGTTTATCTTTTGCTTTTGAATGTAAATGAGAACAGATTCGAGGTAACCCTTCTAAAGGCCTTACATTCACACTCACTCACTCCCTTGCATCCGCAAATGGTCTCTTGAGTGGGGGAGAAAGAAGCACAGGAAGAGCCAGGGCTATGGGACCACGCGCAGTGCTGGCTGTGTTCACGTGGGACACGTCAGCAGAGCATCAGCCTGTGCGCACCTGCAGACAAAAGGAGGTTGAGAACCACTGTTACGAAGGCTTAGCAACTGCCATGTGTCCCAAATTCAGAACTCAAGAGTCTGTTTAACTATTTCACCACACACAAGACGTTTATTTGACAGGTATATGCAACCTGAGATCTGTAAGGGTATCTCTTGTGCTATGGCCATATTCACTGAAAGCAATGCTTTTTAAACTTTTTTTGTTACTAGAGAATGTTTTTTCTCCAAACCCAATCTTACAAAAATTCTCCCTGAGTGCCTACTGTGTGCCAGGAAGAGCTATATTACAGTCATTAATAACACAGATGCTGTCCCCATGCACAAGAAATTAGTTGTGTAGACAAACAATAAGTCAGGCAGAGAGTAAAGAATTATCAAGCGCAAAGCGTCATGAGAGAAATGAAGAGGATACCGGGCCAGGGGGAAATCTAATCAGATAGGGAGATCAGGGAGGGTTTCTCTGAAGCTTTAAGTTTAGGCTGAGACCTAAAGGCCGAGGAGAAGTCAGCCAGGCAAAGAACAGGAGATGGTGCACGAGGCCAAGGACAGTTCTTGAGGTTGGCAAACGAAAGTGTGACCTGGTGCTGATCTGCAGAACTGGGCATTTTCTCCCTGGTAATGCTGAGAGACCCAGGTAAACATTACAGAGGGCCTACTTTGGATTGACAGAGAATTGGAAATTCTGGGCAGTGGGTGTCACTGAGGGTCTAGGAGGTAGGGGAGATGAAGGTACTTTGAGAAATATGAAGATGTTGACATTCTGTAAGAGATCGGAGAGACCCCATGTTTACCAATGCAGACACTTTATTGTGTTTCCTCCTCTGATGTCTTTGCAGAGATCTGAATGCCTCTGATCCATCACAGGGACTCGGAAATGTTGAGCAGATTTCGCTAAAATCTGGAGGTGCCTGGAATAGAAGTGCAAGTTCACATCATCAGGATTATATCATTTCTTAGAAGACAACCATCATCTATATAACAACAAACGGAGCCTAAAGCAGCACTTTATTCCAGTACTTTTCTATGATTCCATCCCTCAACTCGGGGAGTATTGTAAAATCTGTGATAACTTGCCATGTCCCACATACTATCCACCATTACAATAAATCAAGGTTTCATGTTTGTAATTTATGTCTCAGCACTTAGAGAATACCTTGCTAGTTATTTTAAATAGATAAATCAAATCAAAACTTTGTTAATAAAATATTAGAAATGTCATAAGACCTCTGATTTATTTAAAGATGTCTAACATTCTTGATCTCCATTTATTTCAAGTTTTAAGAAGAAAAATGGTTAGCTGGATCATCCTGCTCTTATTTTTATTCCTTAATTTAGGAGATTACATCTCAGCTCTAAAATCATTTTTAATAATGAGATATGCAATTTTTAACTGTGATGTTTTTTAAAAGAATAAACATGATTAAGATTAATTCATGCAGTCCCAGCTATACTTGAATAATGGATTAGTCTGTATAGCACATTTGATTCATGTCTGATAGTCAAGCTTTTTTATTTTAGTTGCATCCATATACACAGAAATTTACTCCTTTGTTTGCTTAAAAGCCAGAACTGCTTATGTAATAGAAGGAAATGAATATAGACTGAACACTCCTGGGAGTACATTCCAATTTCCCAGATTACCAATTGTATATATTCACAGAGAATGATAAGGATACACCAAGTTAACATTATAAAACAAAGAGCGGAAGGTATTCATGGATTACAGAAAGGTTCTTTTCAGAAGTAGAGTACCAGAAGGTAAGAATTAAATAAATGAGAAAAAGTAAGTAAAGAGGGCAGCAGAAAACTTTTCAAAGTGATGGATGGCATAGAATGTGGTGATGGTTTCACAGGTGTATACTTATCCCCAAACTCCTCAAGCTGCATACATTAAATATGTACAGTTTTTGAATGTCAATCATCCTTCAATAAAGGGGTTTTTAACAACAACAAGTGAAAGAATTAAATAAATGGAAGGCAATGAAAGGAAAAGACAAAATCTGGATAAGCATACAGGAGAGGAATGAAAGGGATACTTTCCTTTTCTAGCAAAGAGTTACGTCCATACCAGATCTCAAGACAGAAATCGATTATGCATTTTTGGTGCCAACTTACTTATATTTTCCATCAGGGAGTATGAGGGGCAAATTTTTGTCGTTGACCTTGGAAATAATCACCAACATTCTTCACTTACTACTTGAATGATTTTTGTCCTCTTTGCATTATTGAACATATATATTTTTGATGCTGATGAAAACTCAGGCAAAACAACATAATGGAGCTAGTCACTGTTTTTACAACTTCAAAAGGGCCAGCAAAAAGACCTAGTCTGGCATCATCTTGGTGGGCCTGTTGATTTTTTAGTATTTGCCAAATAACCCTATTAAGTGACAACAACGTTGAATATAAAATTAACACTTATTGTAAATTGAGAAATAATCCATGATAGGAGGTTTTTAAAAAGGCAAAAGAAAGCTAGCAGTTCCTAAGGATATTCCTTAGTATTGGCTAGACTTAACAAAGCATAAGAATTGGGGGAAAAAACTTACCTAGGCTCAGCAACTAATAGCCATGTGATCTAGAAAAACTCAGGAGCTTCAGTTTTATCATGTACAAGGTAAGAGTATTAAACAGTGTGATCTCTTAGGCCCTGTTTTAGCTGTGAAGTCCACTATGATTGACCACCCGCCACGACACTGTTGCCTTCCATTGAGTACAGAGCCTTATAACTTCCAAGTGTGCTTAAATGACAAATTATGGGCTAGTTTAAGAAAACACCACCCTTTCTAGCCTAGGTCTTGCTACCCTGGAGAAATACCGAACATTAACATTTAAAAGGATCCTTATACTAGTTATCTGTGTAAACTCAAGATTAAAGCAACATCCTCCTTTCAATTTCACTTCTATTCCTTACGTGATTTGTTCAAAACCAAAGGAGGTAGGACACTGTTTTCTCCTCTCATTGATGGCAGTTCACCAATACTCCATTGCACACACATTACTCACTGTACTCACCCTATTTGCACACACATTATAGAACTATCAAACAGTAATAAGAATCATATAGTCAAGGAACAGATGCTGCAGACAGACTGCAGGTTACGTGAGTGTCCATTTTTAAAGCTGTATGTATTTTAAAGGTGAATTGAAAAAGAGAAAGAATTGTTTACTATGCCCGAAGAGGCATATGTGGGGACAATTGGCAAAAAGCAGAAGAGTAACGAGGATTCTCAGTAATACCTAATACACAGCAAAGCCACTTAAGAAAAGTAAATAGGAAAAAATGGTTAACACTTAAACTGGGAAAAGACCAAGTTGCCAAAAACAATTTTAAACAATGGCATATAGGATTAGATGATCTACTGTTGAGTCTCCCCCGCCCCCCTTTTTCAGATCCTCAATTTCTGTGACTGACCTTCCAGTGAGGGAGACTATACCATACAATGGTAACGAGTAAAACAAACGAGCAACCAAAAGCTAAAAGAATGAGGGAAGTCTCTGTATTGCTACAGCTCAAAGTCAAGATTCAAAGTCTCCACTCCCTAGCCTGTTCAAAAGGATAAAAGAAAAACATTCAGATCCTTGAATTTAGTCCCCAAAGAGAAGCCACCCCCTTAAATAAAGCACTTCACAGCTCTCCTCTCACTGAAGCTATTGTCTTGAGCTGTTTCCACCCATGTTCCCATTAACACAGTAACATAGCTGCCCTTGGCATACGTTTGAAAAATGTAATAGCACCTTGATCCTGCATTTCTAGTTGCAGGGATGGTAGAGAGGGTTGCCGTGCGATGTTACGTGTTCTTGCACGGGAACGCTAAGGCTTTACCTACAGAGTGTGAAGAGGTAGTAGGTTGGAATGAATAGTCAGGCAACTAGGATGTGGAAGATCTCACTTTGCCTAATGACCTAAAGGCAAAACCACACATGCCTTACAATTTCCTGGGACCAGAAAGACAGGAGACTCACTCTGCCTCTCCCAATTCCTGGACAATTCTGGGAATCTCACGTCTTGGACATCTCTTTGTTCTGTTTGATGGGATCTGGGGCATTACGTGTGGCCCTGAAGAGGCCCCCAAACACTGTATCTAAAATACAAGGAGGAATGTGTTCTAGGGAGAAAGGGAAGTGTCCTACTCCCCAGCTCTAGCCAGGGCTCCCTCGTGGTGCCCAGGGATTCAGTATGATGGAAGCAGACGCATTAGAACTTAGTGGTTTATGACAATGGCTTTTCACACTAACACTCAAGAAAGAAGAACCTCAAACTACCCTAAGCTCAAAGAGTATAGAGGCCTAAAAACAGAGGTAGGTCTCAGCCCTTCTCTGACATGTAAAGGCATCAATATGATAGTCATGCCTGATCAACTTAACCTGTCTGCAATTGAGGCATCCTTCCTCAACTCACAGTTATTTCTCTTTCAAATCCAGGTTTCTCTTGGGCCACTAACTGCTTTCAAAAGTATTTCAGGCAATTCCTAGATTTCTACTAAGGGTGAAAGGGCTATAAGGACATCAGTTAATGTTAACACTGGGTCCAGTACATGAGGCAGAAGAGGCCGAGATTGGCAGCAAGCCAGTTACATGCGCCTGACATGAATGGGTTTGTATATGAATAAACTGCCAACCCATGAGGCTTTTTGGTAGAGCAAGAAAGAAAAGAAGCTTATGATCTGGTAAAATATTCTAAGAAGTATGCTAAGTTTGACCTCAAAGTGAAAAGGCCCGCGCTTACAAAGTATTCTTTCTTAGGAAACTGAACCACAGTCTTCTTAAGCTCTCACATCTAACTATCACCTAAAACAAATATAGTAGATAAACATAGTAGTTGAGGCTACCTTGAAGAAACCACCAACCTTAGAAATGTTGGACATTTTACAGAAATTGACATGGTTTCGTCAACAAATTGATGGCATTAAGAAACGTGTGTGTGTGTGTGTGTGCACTGTGTAGAATGAAACTTTAATGATGTTAACAACCAACTGCAATGTGTAGATTGTATTTGGATCCTAACTTGCACAAAGTAAATGTGAAAAGTCACTCTGGTGATAATCAGGGAAATTTAAACATAGACTATTAGAGGACACTGGGTAAAGTCCTTATCAGTTACAAGTCTATCCTAATGCAATGACAAGATACTTGGAAATTTTCTTTAACATTCTCAAGAAAAAAGTGGGGGAGTCGCTGAGACAACATGAGGAAAATGTTGATTTTCGTTGAAGCGGAGTGACAGATAGATGCAGGTCCCTTCTAGTCTCCTGTGACTATGTCACAATTTCCACAATAAAAAAGGTTTAGAAGCCATTATATTACCATTAATCTTAAAAAGCACATAAATATCATTATTATAACATAATTTATCTCAGCGCAAAATGGAAATAACCTCAAAGTTCTACAGTAGGAAAAAAACTTTTAAAACTATGATAAATCCATCTGACAAAAATTATGCAGCCATTAAGATGACAATACAGAGTACAGCAACAAAGAAAGTGCTTATGGAATTATTTTTAGAATAAAGATTATATCCACATTATGATCTTAACTCTTTAAAATATGTGTGAAGATAAACTGAGCAGAAGAGTATATAAGGAAAAATAAAAAAGCAAGTTGATGTGTTATAAAGTGTGGTGGAATGTTTTTCTTTTCGGTGAGACAACACTGTTTCTCAAAGTAAAGAGCTGACATGAACAAAACAACAAAAATTGCCCTGGGCCTCCGTGTGCTGAAATGCAACACAGGGCAGCAGGAACAGCACCAGCCTTGCAGTCGGACAATCTGGGGACTTATT